AAGATGAAGATGAAGATGAAGATGAAGATGAAGATGAAGATGAAGATAAAGATAAAGATAAAGATAAAGATAAAGATGAAGATGAAGATGAACATGAACATGAACATGAACATGAACATGAACATGAACATGAAAATGAACATGAACATGAAAATGAACATGAACATGAACATGAACATGAACATGAACATGAACATGAATATGAAGGCGTAGATAAACATAAACATAAACATTAAAAGCGATAGAGACAAAGATAGAGAGGAAGAAAGTGATAGGGATAAAAAGGAAATACAACTGAAGAATGTGCGATGTTATATTGTGATGTGTTATGCTACATATGTCATGTTATTGAATCTAATGCTATTCTATGTTATGTTATGCTAAGTACTAAGCTAAACTCCCCTCCACTTAACCCATTCCAACAAATTTTATTTCAGCTCCACTCAACTCACATAAACTATCCTTAATTTTAGCGGTTGAATTTCAACCGCTGGGCGAACACTAGTTTTTATAAAACATCCAGTAACCATAATAGACTGGGGCGGCAGCCCCGGGTTTACCACACAAAGGGAATTCTAGTTACCTTATCCTTTCCCAAGGCTACATCACTGGGGCGGTAGCCCCAGTTGCTGCACAGCAAAGAAGAATTCTATTTTGTAAGGGTTATAATCCCTAAGTGCGGCCGAAGGCCGCCTACACAGAAAGGTGTTATCTGCAAAAGGTGTTCAACTCCGCTTCTTCGGCAATAAAGAAAGGAGAATTCTACTTTGTAAGGGTTATGATCCCTAACCGCGGCAGAAGGCCGCCTACGCAGAAAGAAGTTCTGGGCAAAAGAAACTATGGTATCACCCACACTTGTCACTTGCTTGTAAATACTTTTAATATTTTTTTTTCACTGAATTCTTAAACCTCAAAAGTACACTTTCTAAATAATATATATGTCTTGCCGCGCAGCAATAAAACTCTGGAGTTTGGGAGGATGCCAATCGAAATAGCAAGTTTATTTCTACATATAGACAAATTTGGTTATAATACATGAATACAATAAATAGGCAAAGTAACTTACCCCAGTTTCTTACTCCGACCGTTTGTTACGCGTGGTTTTCTCAAATAACCGAAATGGCGGAAAGTGCTTTATATATCTACACTTTGAAATAACGGAACGTGCGAATAGCGAAACAAAGGAGGAATTGGGGTAGGTAAAGAATTTAACAGAGTTGCTTTGGTGCTATTTACTATAAAGCCTACTACAACATAGTCTACTACAATAATTCAATCTGTTACATTCCCACCCACGTGGATCGAGCCAGATTCACCATCAATTATGTCAAGCTTTGCAAGTTTTGACGCAGGGCGCTGGAGCGAACCGGTGGAGGTTAGGACATCTGCTCTACGAACTTGCCCATCTTGGCCTGGGTACATTCTTAATACTCTACCGCGACGCCACTGCTTTCTAGGCTCGTTGGGGTCACAAGTGAAAACCAAGTCTCCTTCCTTTAATGGCTCTGTAGGCGAACACCACTTTGACCGCCGAGTCAATGTTGGCAGATATTCCTCTACCCACCTCTTCCAGAATCGATCTCGCATCTGCCTCGATAGGTGGCACTGATTACGAAGGGAGCAATACTGCTCTGGCGACTCCATACAACTCGGTGTCTGCG